GGTCAATTTTTTTTAATTAATGTTGTATTCACATATTCAACCTATGGGTTTGATGAGTTTTTGACTCCTGTGTGCGAAGCACACATTGGGAGTCTTTGCAGTTACCCTGTATGTATGTATGTGTGTATGTATGTGTGTATGTGTGTGTGTCAGTCTGTTCCACTGATATCTCAAGAACCATACATCGGTTTTTGATGAAACTTGGTGCATAGGTGCTCTTTGCCAATGCGCAGGTTTTGGTAGAAATCCATGCATATTAATAACCTAATTTGCATGATCATTAGCTCATTTTTAGCTGTTCCATGACTGTTCCACTGATATCTAAAGAACCACTCATTGAATTTTGATGAAACTTGGTTCATAGATGCTTGAACTAATGCCAGGTTTTAATTAGCTTTGGATGAAAATCTGTGCATATTAATTACCTGATATCTCAACTACTAATCATGACATTTCAATGAAACTTGGTACCAAGATGTCATAGGACACTCCAGACCTAGTAGTTTTTAGGGTAATATCAGTACATATTAATTACCTAATTTGCATAATAAATTAATTTTCAGCTTTTGATATTTCAAGTAGTAAGCATTACATTTCAATGAAACATGGTACATAGATACTCAAGGACTATGCAGAGATTGATTGTTTTGGGATAAATATTTGTGCATATTAATCACCTAATTTGCATAATTAGTAAATTTTCAGATTTTCACGTATATATCTCAAGTACTAATCATCACATTTCAATGAAACTTGGTACATAGATCCTCTGGGACTATGCAGAGATCTGATTAGTTTTGGGGTAAATAATTGTGCATATTAATTAACTTGTTTGCATAATTATTTAATTATCAGCTTTTTTACTGATATCTTGAGTACTAATCATCACCTTTAAATGAAACTTTGTACATAGATGCTCTAGGACAATGTACAAATATGATCAGTTTGGGGTTAAAATCTGTTCATATAAATTCCCTCATTAGCATAATAATTCATAATTGTTTGGTTCTGATCACATTTCAATGAAACTTGGTACATAGATGGTCTGTTACATTGCGCAGACCTTATTAGTTTTACACTGTGTTCATTTTAATTTTCTGATTTGCATAATTAGTACAAGTAATTTTAAATTAATTTTTACTGTGTCTCTAATACTCTCAGCACACAGGAGTTCTTTCTAAGCTTTCTTTGACTTATAAATGTATATGGACCTTATTAACCAACTGCATGTTTTGCATTTTGACAATTGAATGTCTCTGAAGCATTTCTCAGACTCTATTCATTACAGATGTAATTAGTAATGTGATATTGTGTGCACATACTACTTATTTGATCAAGAAAGCATCTGGCAAATCAGACTTATTTGTTGTAATCTTCTGAATACTGTCTCTGAATGTGTTCAGAATATTGATATCACATATTGCCGTGTTACGTGCCGAATGGGTGCCAAGGCATTGATGCAGTCTTTTTTACTTCTCTTCTTTCTCTTTTGATTTCTGTTTAGACAATTAGAATTTATTCTTGAATACTATGTTTTAAGTTCATGAGAATATGCAACCAATATTGAAGGTCTCTCTTATTGAAAACCACAGACATGCTGTATTATAGTTATAATTTGTTGGAACAATGCCAACATATTCAATGAAAAGGTGAAATTATATGTGTAGTGTATTTTTGCAGACTATCTGGTATTGTTAATCTTTTTGCAAAGCTCCTCCAACCTATGTCTTAAACTTAAGTGACAATATTATTCTCTATTTAATCCTAAATTAGATACACTGGAGACAGTTCACCCGAGTGCGAGAATAGATCAAGATCATACCGTAAACACTGTATTGGAACTGCAACTGTCACTAACAAAGTTATGGTGGAAAGTAATACTGAAATTGGTAAGTGAAATCATACATTTTTCACCTCAGTCTTTAGTAGTAAAAGTCATGCAATGACCTCACCTCTGTCCTTAGGTAGTAAAATTGGTAGGTCAAGTCATGCAATGACCTCACCTCTGTCCTTAAGAAGTAGAATTAGTAGGTCAAGTCATGCATTGACCTCACCTCTGTCCTTAAGAAGTAGAATTAGTAGGTCAAGTCATGCATTGATCTCACCTCTGTCCTTAGTAGTAGAATTAGTAAGTCAAATCATGCAATGACCTCACCTATGTCCTTAGTAGTAGAATTAGTAGGTCAATTCATGCATTGACCTCATCTCTGTCCTTAGTAGTAGAATTAGTAGGTCAATTCATGCAATGACCTCACCTCTGTCCTTAGTAGTAGAATTAGTAGGTCAATTCATGCAATGACCTCACCTCTGTCCTTAGTTGTGGAATTAGTAGGTCAAACCATCCATTAACCTCACCTATGTCCTTAGTAGTGGAATTAGTAGGTCAAATCATGCATTGACCTCATCTATGTCCTTAGTTGTGGAATTAGTCTGTCTAACCATCCATTAACCTCACCTATGTCCTTAGTAGTGGAATTAGTAGGTCAAATCATGCATTGACCTCATATATGTCCTTAGTAGTAGAATTAGTAGGTCAATTCATGCATTGACCTCACCTCTGTCCTTAGTAGTAGAATTAGTAGGTCAAACCATGCAATGACCTCACCTCTGTCCTTAGTAGTAGAATTAGTAGGTCGAACCATGCAATGACCTCACCTGTCCTTAGTAGTAGAATTAGTAGGTCAAACCATGCAATGACCTCACCTCTGTCCTTAGTTGTGGAATTAGTAGGTCAAACCATGCAAAGACCTCACCTCTGTCCTTAGTTGTGGAATTAGTATGTCAAACCATCCATTAACCTCACCTATGTCCTTAGTAGTGGAATTAGTAGGTCAAATCATGCATTGACCTCATCTATGTCCTTAGTAGTAGAATTAATAGGTCAATTCATGCATTGATCTCACCTCTGTCCTCAGTTGTGGAATTAGTAAGTCAAACCATGCAATGACCTCACCTCTTTCCTTAGTAGTAGAATTAGTAGGTCAAACCATGCAATGACCTCACCTCTGTCCTTAGTAGTAGAATTAGTAGCTCAATTCATGCGTTGACCTCACCTCTGTCCTTAGTTGTAGAATTAGTAGGTCAAACCATGCAATGACCTCATCTCTGTCCTTAGTAGTAGAATTAGTAGGTCAATTCATGCATTGACCTCACTATGTCCTTAGTAGTGGAATTAGTAGGTCAAACCATGCATTGACCTCATCTATGTCCTTAGTTGTGGAATTAGTCTGTCAAACCATCCATTAACCTCACCTATGTCCTTAGTTGTGGAATTAGTCGGTCAATTCATGCATTGACCTCACCTCTGTCCTTAAGAAGTAGAATTAGTAGGTCAAACCATGCAATGACCTCACCTCTGTCCTTAGTAGTAGAATTAGTAGGTCAAATCATGCAATGACCTCACCTCTGTCGTTTGTAGTAACATTAGTAAGTCAAGTCATGAATAGCTTTCACTTGTATTCCTTGTTGTCAAATAATTGTGAAATCATTCATTCAGACAACCTGGTTTATTGCTACATGGCCAGCTTCCTAATTCCTGATTGTTTTCTCTGTGGTTGGCAATGATTGATCCATGTGTGTCTAGGTACATATTCAATGAGACATTCTTGCCACCTGTTATCTTAATTGTCAATGACTTTATGATGATCATATTTCTTTTTAAATATTCATTCCTATTTTCATACATTCATGTCACAGACACTTTATACTTTATTGCCAATGGGGGGGGGGGGGGGCTCATCGAATCTTGCCTAAGCTGCACTAAAGCAACGATAACTAACAGTGAAATGCGAACATACAAAGTCCCCCCAAAAAATATGTATCAAAATAGTGAATGCATAAATTGAAAGTATAACCTCCATCCCTGTATAAAATGGGTTAAAATTAGTAAATGAGTTTCCAAGTACATGCATCGTGACTACAACAACAATGATATGATAAAGTAGAAACA